AGGACAAAACCAAAGTCACAGATAAGACACGAATGGGGTCAGTACTAGAACCTGCTTTGCATCTGAACATTATGTGTGTCTTTGTAGGAAGGCAGAGGACTATTAAAGTTCAAAATGAAGGTTCTTCACTATAGCTTATACAATCTTTCTCCATACATTCTTTCATTCAAAAGTGATAGTTGGCATAAAGGTACAAACAGAGTCAAGTGATCTCTGATCCTTTATTTCACTATATTCATTCATTCTCCAAATATTGATTGGGCACTTAATACATGCTGGACCTGCATGGTCTAGATATAGGAACTCTGACTGTAAACCAAAGAGGCCTTTCTTCATACATCTGTGCCAATTTAGCAAATGTTAAGGGTGCCAACTTCACAATGGTCTCCTAGGAAGACAGGACATGCATTCCAGGGAAGCTTCAGGTACCTAAAATATCTTTGGAAACTTACTTTTTTTAGAACCAACTTCAAATACAATTTATGAACCAGAGTTTCTGTACTTTTTAATTATGTCTCTCTGTCTCTCTCTTTACATTTTTTAAGAAATAAATTCCGTCACTCTACCCCAACACATACACACATACATTTCACCAGTTAATGTCTTTTTGATCCTCAAGTTATTGTCTGTAAAATACACATAATCTATACCCTGGTGCATCCCTGTGAGGATTAAAGATCTGTACTTCAAAGTCTAATGCAGCATCCTGAGCAGAGACAAAACTCAACACATGATGTTGTGCTTTCTAGTCTCCCTAAGGAGGGGGTTGGGAATTGTCAGCAACATTTCAAACCCTGGTGGCTCTATCCAAGGGTTCACGTTCTATACATGATAGTAGCTGGTACCAGTCCTGGAAAGCAGTAAACAGAACTGATTGGAATCTGCAAGTCCCAAGATTATCATACGATCTGGACTCATGTCTCAGGTATCACCAGGTACCTGTGGCAGGGGCCCTACCACCACCCATTAATCCAGCAAAGGGTAGACAGTGGGCCCAGCTAAGAGAGCTTCAATAGGGCAGAAATGAGGCCTCCAGCCCTTGAGCAGACCTGGGCTCTTTTCCAAACACAAGACCTACACCCAGGTGGTCATTTTACCTTCTCAACAACCTCTCATAGGTAGTGTCTCATCATGTCTTCACATAACCAGCTCAATTCTGAAAGACTGGTAACTACTTCCTCATTTGATACCAAGTCTTGTCCCAGACTAAATGCAGGATTGTGGTTTTAGTCCCAAGACAGAAACTAAACCCTGGAAGCAGGTCTCCTCCCTCTCAGTCCACTATGTTGAGCTGTGTCTACAACACATCAGGAAACTCTTTAGAGATCCTCTCCTCACCGTCTCCAACCCAGCCGCACAGCCAAGGGAAATAATTTCTCTACAAGTAGAATTTCTCCCAAATGTAAATGTATAAAGCCCCAAGTCCTAAAAAGGCGAACAATAAGGAATAAAGGACTAAAGGAAGAACTTCAGAAGGATACCAAATGCCTAAGCCAGGAGGAAGTCCAGAGAGAGAGCTTGGGTGTCAGGAAAAACACATTAAGAATCAGGCAAATTGGCTCTGTGTGACCTTGGGCAAGTCATTCACCTTGCTGAGCATCCACTTTTCAGAGCCATAGATTGTAAAACTTCAGTGAAATGACCAAGCACAAGAAGCCAGCTGCAGGGTGCCTGGCACATGGAAATGATCATAACCATTCTGTGGCATGCCATGGCTGGAAAGGACTTAAAAGATGACCTAATCCTGGTCATATTGTTTCACAGGCACGGAAACACAAGGCCCAGAGAAGGGAAATGACTTGCCCAAAGTCACATTGAAACACTCACAGTGATATATCGGGCCCAACGCCCTCAGTTTATTTTGAAATCTGAGTCCCAAATCTACCAATAAAGACAATTTCCCAAGCTATGCAAGGGTGCTCTGGTAGCGTAGTGGTTACGAATCGGGCTGCGAACCTTAAGGTCAGCGGTTCGAAACTACCAGTCGCTCCGCGGGAGAAAGATGAGGCTTTCTACTCCTGTAAAGATTTACACCCTCGGAAACCCTGTACAGGGTTGTTATGGGTCGGACCCGACTCGATAGCACTTAACAACAACAACAACAACAATGCAAGGGTGGGAGAAACTTATTCAGCTCTAGCGGTTCCTCTAGCCCATGGAGTCCCCATAGTGAAATTTCTTTCTCCACTTCACAAGGAAAAAGGTGGTAGTTCTATCTGGCAATAATATAAAATTTTAAGGCACTCAAGTTAAAACTAAAATCCCAGGCCTCAACAAAAAGTCATTCTTGTAAAGTTCCTTTTTCCCACCTTCCACTCTCACCTGCCCCGCCTTCCCAGCCCTAAATATTTTGCAATAACAGTAATGCTGAGAGGAAAGAAAAATAAAAATCTGATGCACTTACCAGATATTTTGGTACAATAATGTATCACAGATGTTCCTATCAAACTGTGCACGCGCGCATACAATTTGACTGCAAAGCCTTTCTGATTTTAAGTTTTGGATCCCTAACAACCCCATCCACACGGGCTCTGAGATCTCATCCTCCCCTGTTAGCCCAGTCATTCTCAAGAGGATGGAGGGGAGATTTCATCACCTCACTCCAAAATGATAACAGGACAAATTGGCGAGGTCGGACACTCTGGCAGGTGGTGAAGGCTGTGTAGATTAGGGAACCAAAAGGAATCCTGTTTTCTTTTGTTTGGGACATGCTTCCTACAGCCCTTTGGAGGAGCTGGACCCAAGCACAATTTTAAGAAGGGCCCAGGCTGGTGATGGGGTAGTCTGGATTTTGAAACCAGAGATTCCAGTTTGTTTGATCTTCAAACATGGGCTTTGGAGCCTGTCAGCGGCTCCTTGCCGGCCAATGAATGGCTCTCAGGAACTTTTCCTAAAACATAACTTCACACACTTTCCAGCAAATGTTTTCTGCCTACTCACAGCATCATTTGGTTGAACAGCAGTGTTTCCAGACCCTGAAGATAGTTTTGTTGTTTTAAAGGAGACAGATTAAAGCCAAGGGCTGTTTAACCAGTGGGCCCATTCACTCCTGTCAAACCTAATCGGATCCTTTTTGTGGGACAAAGAAGGTGTTGAGAGTGATAGTGGATCCCCCACCTCCCTCACCTAAAAAAGATATCGAGACCTATGGACAGAGAGGCCTCCCACAAACTTCCCTCCAAAATGAGAGGGGCGGTGAGCGCTGGGGGCCCCTCCGACACAAATAATATCAGCTCCGAGGCTGGCAAGGGAAAAGTCACTTCAGAGGGAGAAAGCCGGTATGTTCAGAGGGCTCAGTGCTGGGTCAGAGAATACACAGGATTTTCCCCCGTGGAGACGGAGTCAGGCATAGTCAGAACCCTGCGGGGCGTGACTAACTGCCCCAATATTCCTGCCACCAGGGCCCTCTGGGTAAGGACTCCACAATTATGGGAGAGCCAGCAGGAGAACCGACAAACCGGCCTTTCATTTGGCCGGCAAATCAATCTGGCTTCTTACCTCCCCAGGGACAATATTGCATTTCCCCTGGAAAAACAAAGGCCAGAGATCTCCAAAGGGGGATCAGTTTCTGCGGCTGTTTCCCTGGTGAAAAGCTTGCAACATCTTGGGAGCAGCTAGCAGATCTGGTCCCCTGTGCTGGAGTCTCTGGTCCAGCCAATTTATGGAACTATTTCTTTAATGGGGGTGAATGGCTCAAAAGCCAAACCTCACTCAAGGCACTGACCCAAGCCCTGTCTTGGAGCCCCCTTGCAGATCCCACCCCCTAAGCCCTGGGTGGAGCCCCCCTTGGTCCTGGGATTGACAGCCCTGTTCTCAAGGCACAGATGTGAACTCATTGTTCCCAGGCCCTTAGAGTTGAGTTTGGGGCCAGTGAGTTGTGAGTGACCTCTGCCCATGAAGCGCAAGCTTTTCAGGACTTTTTGCTGGATAAGGTCTCTGGCAGCAGAAACTTTAAACCTGCTAAGTCCCGCCCTATCAGGTTCAGAAATCAGAAGCATCAACCTTTAAACAAACACATTATTCTGAAATTATTAACCCCCAAACAATTCTTGCTGAATTTCTCATAGCTGAGAGAGGCACCTAGAGCTTTTTTAAAAAAAAAGTTGCTGTGGAGTCCATCCCAATTCATGGCACCCAATGTGTTACGGAGTAGAACTACCCCGCAGGGTTTTCAGGGGGCGCCTTAGGACAAGCACTCAACCGCAAGGTCAGTATGAACCGCAATGTCGGCAGTTCAAACTCACCAACTGCTCCTTGGAAACCCTACACAGGGTGGCTATGATTCAGAACTGACTCAACAGCACTTAGCTAAAACAACAACAGGCTTTACAGAAACAAGACTGCCTGTCCTTTCTTCCTTGGAGGGGCCAAGTAGGTTGGAACTGCCAATCTTTAATAATCAAGGGCAAATTATTTGTACCACCCAGAGCCCAAATGCTTTGAAAAAGCCTAGGAAATTCAGCAGTGCTTAACCTCAAAAGGCTAACGGGTCTTCCATAAACACTAGAACCATGACATCTCCCACGCCACCCCAGCCACAAGTGCCATGTCCTCCACTCTGCTGCCTTCAGAGGCATCGCTGTGTGTGCATATACAACAGCCTCAAAGACAGCCTCCTGCTCTGGGGACACCAGGGATCTCAAGAAAGCATAATGCCAACCAGCAACTCCCTTTTTGTTTTTGATCACTGTGATGTGATTTTTAAAAAAAGGGAAATTCTTTCTGCTCAGGCAAGCACAGCAGGTAGGGAGTGCATTTCCCCATAGGTAACTCCACCAAAATAGAAGCAGACACCCAAACTTTTACTCTCAACTCTGCTGAGCATCCATTCCCCCCAACCTACCACAAAGAAGCCGGAGACCTACCCCATACTCCAAAAGGACCTCTCCGGAAAAGGGTAAGGACCAACTCTAGCTGCCAGAGGAGAAAGACAATCAAGGAAGAGGCCAAGGTGCACAGGGGTTACCCAGCTCTGGGGATGAGGATGCCACAGGCCTTACCTGGGAGAAGTTGAGCCCGTTGAGTGGGTGGCACTGCTCCTCCACCCGCTCCACTGCCCCAGTGCTCTTTTTCATCTTCTCGGCCTGCTGTGCCAGGTAGAGGTCTAGGACTGGCACACCACGGGAGCGCACATCAGTCTCTGTGAGCGAGTTCACCATGAGCATCACCCACACGGGCCTCTTGCGCTCCCAGTTCCCTGCAATGGCATTGAACAGGTAGTCCGCATAGAGTCCCTTGCCTCGCTGCGCAGGCGTCATCCAGGAAGGCATCATCAGCTTCACATAGTCTAGGTGGCGTTTCAGACGCCAGTATAACTCACGAGGCAGCACGTCTTGCAGGTTCTCCCCGTGGGGCAGCAGTTGGCAGCTGGCCAGGGCTGAGATGGTATAGGGGTCTGTCAGGTCTAGCTCAAAGTAGACACGGGCACTGGCCTGAAAGGCTGACTTGGAATTGTCTGGGATAAAGTCCCACACCCGGGTGTATGGGACGTGGATGGTGCCAAATAAGTAGGCTGGGGGGTCGCGTCGAATAGTCCACAGGAAGGAGTTCAGGTCCCTCTGCTGCAAGGGAAGATGACAGAGAAGACAGTGAAGATGAAGGCAACAGAGGAGAACTGAGGGTACCATAGAGTCTTCCAAGTGATAAGGAACAAGGGCTTGGGAACCTAGAAAACCCATATGCAAATCCTGGCATTGACCTGTATAACTGTATGATCTTGAGCAAATCATTCACTTCCTACAGGCTCAGCTTCCTCATCTGCAAAAAGGGGGTGAGAGCAGCTATCTCTGGGGGGTTGTGAGAATTAAAAGGCACACTGTAAGTTTATCGAGCCCTACATGCAATGTCAGGCACAGAGCAAGTCAGCAACGAAAGGAAGCTATCATTATGATTAGCATTCGCCATGCGTGCCAAGGACTGTCACACCACCTAAGAATATTCATGCTTGGCCAAATCAAACCTTCACGGGTGGTGTTTCATAGGGAGGGTGGGGAGTGGGGGACCAAGAATACAGCTCTGGCAAGAAGGAAGGAAGTCATATAACTTTAAAATTCAACCATTAGAAGATGCATGCCAAGAGTACTTTGAAAGCAGAACACCTATTAAAAACAGCACACCTATTTAAACAGCTACTTTCAATTCATCAGGGTAGATATAGTTTTCTTTTTGGAGGGCAGGGCTAGGGCGTCAGCTACTCTGTTGGACCAGCTGAGACCACAGATGAGAAAGTGCTTTAAGCCCTGCAAAGCCAAGTGTAGTCAGTATCAGACTCTGGTTTAGGAGGGGAGGATTCCCTAGAATTGGACCCAAGAAATAGGCGCTTTTCAGGTTATTCCTCTAAAGGTATATCTGGTCTAGACCTTCAATTCTGCCATCTTCTATGACCTAAGCTCTGATTAAGTGTTATGTGAGAGAGACAGAAAGAGAAGAAGAAAAAGGAGGAACAGGAACAGTAGCAATAGAACTATTAGCAGTGATAATAGTAGTAGCAGAGGCTTGAAGCAGCAGAGTCATTCCTTTCTCCAGATCCACGTTGAGACCAGGGGTCAAGGAGCATGAGAAAGGGACCATCATTTCTTTCAGGCAAAGCCATTTTTCATCAGAATAATCCTTGGACTGGCCACCTGCAAGCTTTAGATCATCTCATATTTGCTTTCTGCCCAATTCCACCACAAATGAAAAGTATGTGTTGGGGTGGATGGTTGTTGAGAGGAAGAGAAGCGTATTATGCTAACATCCCCCAAATTGCAAAATCAGTCTATTGGAGGAAGAGCTCAGAGCCAATCAACCAGTTCCTAGCACCAGACCAGGCAGAAAGCAAAGGTGCACCTTGCCCAAGGTCAACTAACTCACTGCAGAGCAGTGGGAGGACCCTCTTCTGGCCACCAAGCCATGTTATTTTCACATACTAATTAACACTTTGAGGGTGGGATAGTTACTGAGGGATGAGGGGGTAATCAAAGGATTCCTTGTTTTGGAAGGAAAATTAGGAGAAGCATTAGGCCAGCATGTCTTGGCACTTCCTTTTCCTCTCCTCTGGAATCTTCCCTCTTTTCTCAAAAGAACACTTGGAAGAGTGGGCGCTAAGGTCTGGACTGCAGAGGAAGAGGGAAGTGGGGACCAGCACCTGAGAGAACGCTTGTCTTAGAGCATACTGAGAGGGCAAGGGAGAAGGAGCAAACTGTGTGAACGAGAGCAGGCAGAGGGTAGAAGGACTAGGAATAGTAAAATGATACAGATTTAGTCAAAAGGAGCAGCCACCAGAAGAGTAAGCAGATAGGATAAGAGTCAGAAAGAAGAGAGCCAAAAGGAGGCAAAGAGAAAAAAACGTCCAAGAAGGAAGAAGGAAAGTGGAGAGAAGAGCGAGCCAGTCAGCGTCAGCGTGCGAAGGACTGGAGAGAGGGAGCGCCCCTTTTCGGCTCGCCGGGACGCAGCTAGAGCCAGGGCAGGCAGAAGCGAAGGAAGGGAGCCCAAGGCTGCGCCCGCCCGACTGAGGTGGAATGGGTGGGATGAGGTGGGTGCGGAAGGCAGGACCCAATCATCGTCCCCACGGGGCTGGAGTGCCTGGGCGGGCGAGAGTGGCGGGGCAGGCGCTCGCTCACCGATCCGGGCGGTCGGCACTGTCCTCCGTCCGGGGGCTGCGGGCGGGCGCGGGCGGTAGCCAGAAGGGCGGCGAGCAGCGGCCCCGCCAGGGCGGCGTGCATCCTGCCGGGGCCCACGGGGCACAGGGGACCCTCCTTGGGCGGCGCCCCCTTAGCGGGGCGGGGAGCCCCCAGCCGGGCACCTAGGTTTCTCAGGAGCGCCGGGCTAGAGCCACGGGATGCTGGAACCCTCCGGGGCGTGGCTGGATGTCCCTGCAGGACCTGGGGGGGTCCCTGTGGGGCGGGGCTCCGTCTGTGGTTAGAGGGGACCCTCTGAGGCTAGGCCCCCTCGCCAGGGCGCACAGTCCCGTGGGTCGGGCCCCGGTGTTCAGAAAGCACGCGCGGGTGCAGGGGCGCGTAGGGGTCCTGGGGCTATGTCCGAGTCCAGGGGCGTGCGGGGTTCCTGGGGGTGCTACCGAGATCCCTGGGTGCTCAGAGGTTCCAGGGCTATGCTGGGGACTAAGGGCGTGCAAGGGTCCCAGGGGTGCCTAGCGCTCCAGGGGGCACGCAGTGGGACAAGTGCGGCAGAGGGCGCGGCGGGGGCGGGGGTCGGCTCCTGGGCGCCCAGCTACCCCTGAGCCCGGCTCAG